AAGCGACATGGAGGGAGTTTCGAGAGGCTCTTCGGAGAGCCCAAGAGGCTTTCCGGAGAGCCCAAGAGGCTCTTCGGTTGCTCCAAGAGGCTCTTCGGCGGCTCCAAGAGACTCTTCGGAGAGCCCCAGGGGCTCTTCGGAGAGCCCCAGAGGCTCTTCCGAGAGGCTCCTCGGTGAAGGGGGGGGGAGGAAGCTCTTTGGAGACCCCCCCCCTTCACCGTACTCGTTGATTAATACCCTCAGGAGGAACCCTAGCCATACTAACACCCACTGGGCCGCATTAGCAGCCAACGTGCCACAGTAACACCTTATCTCCAGATGGGATGGGTGGGCGGACGACGCCGACGCCCTCGCCGACGCCGACGCCGAAGCCGACGACGACGACGACGACGACGACGACGACGGCGACGTCGACGACGACAACGACGCCGCCGTCGACGCCGACGCTGACGCCGACGCCGACGCCGACGCCGTCGGCCAGTGGAGCCAAGGCCACGCCACTGGCAGTGGGGATAGGGATTGGTCAAACGATGCTCAGATGTCCGAGGCGGCGATGTGTCCATAACCACCACCGCTTTGGGGGTCGATCTCCGGGGACCTCGGCAGGCGGCGTATACAAATGTATTCGGGCCCTGGGGTGCCAAATATATCCGTATCTAACGCTTGACAGACCCCCCGTTCGCAGGAGGGCAAAGCCCCAGGCACTGCCGACGCGACGAGGGACGGATCTTGGACGACGCCGACCGTGCACCAGTCCAGCTCGATGCACGCCGCTGCTTGCGCCGGCACGCGTGGAACCGTGCATCGACCCGGTCCGAGGCGCGGACGTATCCATAGCCAGCGCTTGCTTGGGGTGTCGGTCTTCGGGTTCTTCGTCACGCGGTGATTTGGAAATGTCAGATCCCTGGGGGAGGCCAAATGTACTCACATCCACCGCCTTCTGGGGCCCCCGAAGATCGATCCTCGAGGCCGTGGCTATGGACACGAGGCATAGAGTGGACGACGCCAACCGTGTACCAGACCAGCTCGATGCACGCCGCTGCGTGCTGGCACACGCAGAAGCGCGCATTGAATTGGTTCGGTACACGGTTGGCGTCGTCCAAGGGGAGGGTTTCCAGATTTGGGCGTCGCAGGAAAATTGCGGCGGCTGTTTTTGTCAACGTTTTTATGTATGCTTTTTGGGCCCTGCTCCCAGCTGGGGGACGGGACTCGGGGCGAGAAGCTGGCCTTCGGGCGGGAAGGGATCGGGATCCCCGGTCTTTGATCAGGAAAGAATGCGGCACGGGAGGAGGACGGAGGAGGAGGAGGAGGAGAAAAGAGGAAAGCGCCCTTTTCTTGCATCGGCCAAGGTCCCCGTCTAGTTACTCTGGGTGGCGTTGAGAGGAGGAGGAGGAGGAGGAGGAGGAGGAGGAGGAGGAGGAGGAACGAGAACGAGAAACGCATTCATGTTCGGAGGCCCCTGCGGATTTCTCGGGTCGGCGCAGGACTTCCTCCTGGCGGGGCCTCTGGCACCACCCCTGATGCGCCACGCGCGCCAGGGGCGGGGGGCCCAGCGCTGGCCCGATTCACCTCCGTGCGGGCCTTCGAGAGTTTTTGTGTCGTGCGGTGATTTTGTTCTTCCACTGGACGAGGGCGGCGGCGGAGGGGAGGAGGAGGAGAGGAGAAGGGACAGGGGGAAGGAGGAGGAGGAGGAGGAGGAGGAGGAGGAGGGAGGAGGAGGAGGAGGAGAGGATGGGAGAAGGAGGAGGAGGAGGAGGAGGACAGGGGAAGGAGGATGAGGAGGAGGGGAGATGGAGGAGGAGGAGGAAGGAGGAAAGGAGGAGGGGACAAGGGGAAGGAGGAGAGGAGGAGGAGAGGAGGAGGAGGAGGAGGAGGAGGAGGGAGGAGAGGAGGGAGGAGAGAGGAGGAGGAGGGGAGAGGAGGAGGAGGAGAGGAGGAGGAGGAGGAGGAGGAGGAGGAGGAGGAGGAAAGGAGGAGAGGAAAGCAGGAGGAGAGGAGGAGGAGGAGGAGGAGGAGGAGGAGGAGGAAGAGAGAGGAGGAGGAGGAGGAGGAGGAGGAGGAGGAGGGAGGAGGAGGATGGGAGGAGAGGAGGAGGAGGAGGAGGAGGAGGAGAGGGAGGAGGGGAGGAGGAGGAGGAGGAGGATGGGAGGAGCAGGAGGAGGAGGAGGAGGAGGAGGAGGAAGGAGGAGGAGGAGGAGGAGGAGGATGGGAGGATGGGAGGTTGGAGGAGGAGGAGGAGGAGGAGGAGGAGGAGGAGAGGAGGAGGAGGAGGAGGAAGAGGAGAGGAGGAGGGACAGGGGGACGAGGCAGGGAGGGACAGGAAAGGAGGAGGAGGAGGAGGAGGAGGAGGAAGAGGAGGAGGAAGAGGAGAGGAGGAGGGACAGGGGGACGAGGCAGGGAGGACAGGGAAGGAGGAGGAGGAGGATTTGCCGGCGGGTCTGGCCCAGCTTGCCCCGAGGACCAGCATCGGATCGCAGAGTTTTACGGCTTCCGGGACGAGGCGCACCCGTCCTTCTGTCTCTCTTTCCTCCTACTTCTCCTTTTCCCCCTCCTCTTCCCTCCTCCTCTTCTCCTCTCCCCTCCTTCTCTTCTCCTCTTCCCCCCCAGCTTCCTCCTTCTCCTCTTCCCCCTCCTCCTCCTCCTGGAAGCTGGAAGCTGGTAGCAAATGAGTCGCACCGAGGCTGCCACCCACCAGGGGTCGTTGCCCCGGGGGGGTGATCAAACTTTGTAAATTGTAGGATACGAAGAGGCTGACGGCGGCGCGGTCGCCCGGGGGGCGAGGTATCATCTAATTCCCTCAGCGGCCCCAGAGGGGGGAGGGGGACAGAGAGGAGGCTGCTCTGCTAGAAGCGAAAGGGGAAGAGCACGGGAAGTGTTACGGTGTCGCGGCACCTGGCGTGAGAAGGGGCGGTGTGGGGCAGGCAGTGACGGCGATTGATGTGGCGCAGAAATGAGAGGTAATGCAGGCGATTGCAGAGCTGGGCGCGTCTGAGTTGAGCGTGTGACTGTGGCCATTCTCGCCCAACGCGGGATGCCTTGTTGGGAAGCCCATCCCACCCGAGAGGGCCCTCACCCGCCGACGCAGGCGAAGGGGCTCCCAGGGAGGGGGCTGAGAGCCGGGTTGGGGTCTCCACCAGGCGTGGGGAGTTTGCGCCATCCCATGGCGGTGGCAACAGGAGACGGCAGCGCCCGCCCCTCCCCAAAAAATACGTCCCCCCCAACTCCCCCTGCAGGTGGAGCGGCATTGTGGCGGTAGGCTGAAACTGACCAGCGGAGGTGGCGAGGTGGCCGGGTTGCGTGCGCTCTGCCGTGGAGGAGGGCGGAATAGGCAAATTGGATGGGTAAGGCAAGGGTGGCGCGCAGGCGAGGCAGGGTGGCCGTGCGGTTGCTTGCAGTAGGCTTGGCCCTCGCCAAGGCACAGGCGCGGTTCCCAGATCCTCCCCCCATCTGCCATGCACGTCCCCATTGGTGGCTGACGGTAGATGGGCAAGGGCTGCGCGAAAGTTGAGGTTCGTGAGGTTGGAGGCGAGACCGAGTCAAGTCAGTGAACACGATTGGTGAGGCGATGTTCGCTGCTGGGAGTTGCATGGGCAGCGCTGCTGGCCGTTGCCGCCCTGACCAACGCCAGGATGGCCGGCGGCTGTCTCCCCCTTTCCCAACTGGCTCCACCCGTCCCGCCCCACCAGAGTGGCGGAGGTGAAGGTAAGCGGGGTGTGCAGAGGACAAGCTTGAAAGGGAAGTGGGCGGCAAGGAGGGAGTGGGAGAATGGGCGAGAGCTCTCACTGGCCAAGCTGACGGTTTGTCCTTCGAGTTGCGTGCCTCCGAGGCCTCACGGCGGTGGGATCAAGATGACACCAGGGAAGCGCGTGGGAGGACTCTATCAGTTGGCGCTGATCCTTACCAATGTGGGTGAGAATGTTGCGGCGTTTTTGAGAGTTCTGCATGACCGCACACCGACAATTTACGCCGGGTGAGGTTGCGTCCACAAATGTGCCCATATATCGGATGAGTAGCATAACGTGGGTGAGAATGCCGCGGCGAGTTCAGGAGCCTTGTGCAACCGTGGACCCACTGCATAACACTGCACCCTCCGTGGAGTTGTGGTAGCCAGCGTGTGCTGATGCTATGTGTGGCACTTCGTATGTGTCATCCTGTGGGCGAGAAAGCCACGGCGGATGTTGGAGCCTCGTATGACCGTGGACACTGCATACCGACCTTTACATATAAGCTGCCGTGTGGTGATGTCACTTGTGGCACGTCGAGTGAACTCTCCTGTGGGTGAGAGCCACGGCGGTTTCTGGAGCCCTGTAAAGGGTGGACCCACTGCGGCGTATGTTCATCTCAAGACGTAGCCGACGCCGTATGCTAGCTGGGAATAGGGAATGCCGTGTCTTGCCGTAGAAGAAGAGATTGAGATGCTGGAGTGCTCCTCCTCATCCGCTTCCTTATCCTCATCTCCATCTTTCGTTGTTACTCAAATGGCCGATGCCATTTCGCTGACCCCTAACAAGAACGAGTGCTTGCGACGATTGTGGGAGTTATCTAGTGGGTGACGAGCTTCTTGGATGCATATGATGGGCTCCTGGGAAGCCTCTCTGGGGCTCGTCTGGGGTCGTTCAGAGGGTCCTTGTTGCCCGTCGTGAAGGCGTCCTGGGCCGCGTGGACGTCCTGAAGAGATGTGGAGCTGTTGTGGAATGCATCCAGGGTTTCTGAGAGACAACGGGGGCTGGAAATGGAGGCCCGGAGGCGCGGGAGTAGCGCCGGCGAGTTCCGGGACCCCCTTGCCCTTGCCTTCTAGGGCCCTTCTTCAACGATGATGTTGGGCCCCAGGGGAGGGCGAAAGCCTCGTAGAAAGCCATCAAGGGAGACCTTCCGAGCCAACCCCGTCACGCGCGGCACTTGGCATCCCCAGGATCATGAAGGCGGGTGTGTTGCAGGGTTTCTGAGGGGCCTGTTGAAGGCTCGGGGGGGCCTTTTCGGAGCACCTAAAGCGCGTCTGGGGGTCGTTGGGGGTCCTTTCGCAGCCCTTTCGGAGCTTCTTGGATGCATGTCGAGGTGTTTGGGATGTCGGGGTGTTTGGGGGCCATCTTGTGGAGGAGAGCCTCTGGGACCTTTCGAGGTTGTCCTCGAGGCCCCGCCTGTTCGGCCTCTGGGGCCGTCTTGGGGGGCCTCGTCAGCCGTCTTGAGGGATTCTGGGGCCGCGTCCAGGCTGCCTGGGGTGCCTTTTTTGCTTACGTGGGTTCGTTCGGGGAGTCTCAGGGGTTGGTTTTGAGCTTCGGACGCCCGAAGAAAATCATCAACAAAGCCACATGACAAACATCGTTGTTCCTCTAGACCCGCTGCGGGGGGGTCCTCTCAGAGCCGTGGTGCGGCGTATTTGGCCTCCAAGACCATCTCGGATGCGTCGGCGCCTTTCTGAAACCGTCTTGGAAGGCATCTTGGACAGCTTGGAGGCGGCGGCGGCTGGATTAGGGGACTCCGAGGGCCCGGGTGAAGCGCCAGCGAGTTCCCAGACCTTCCCCCCCCCCCTCCCACTCAAACGAGGTTTTGAACCCTGGGGCCTCGGGAACGGATTAGGGGGTCAGCCACTCATCTCACATGCCTGTCCCTCCCAAGCAAGCAGGGGTCGGCGAATCCCTGCCTCCTTCCCCTGTCCCTCCCTCTTCTCCTCCTCATCCTTCTCTGTCCTCCTTGTCTCCTACCCTGTCCTCCCCATCTTCCGTGTGGCGGCGTGTGCGATCGGGCTCCTGCTATCGCGCTCCGCTCACCGCGAGAGCGACGGAGTCTCAAAGGTGTGCAGAATCTGATACATCCTCGACCCCAGGAAAGGGGAGCCGGTTCGTTATTGGGCACCAGAAACCTTAAGAAATAGTATTGAACCACTCAACCAGGTTTGCCGCAGTTTGTATTTTCCAGGTGAACAGCAGCTCGGCTTCGGCGCACATCATGGAAGCGTTCCGCCGGACCCAGCCCAGCCATTGCCCTACAGGATTGGGGCCGAGTCAGCGCAAGAGGCCGCCCGCCTCGCCACGACACCAAGGGGGGCCCCGAGGGAGACGGGTCCCAGACCCCGGGTGTGGCTCCCCAGGGCCAATTCTCGGGGCGCCAGAGACGGGGACACAGCGAACGGGGGCTCGGAGAACGCCGGTTTCCACCTTTGGCTATGCCCCCGTTTCGGGGAGGAGGGAGGGAGGGCCCTGGGCGCCGTAGATGGGGGAAGCCCCCCATTCAGCGAAACCCCCGTTCAGGAAGCCCCGAAGATCTTCATCCTGAGCCCTTTTTTTGTTGTCGGTCCTGGCGAAGCATTTCCAGGGCCCCTTTCTCTTCCACTGGACCCACCCTGGGGCTGATGCGCAGACCCCGCAGGGCGTGAAACATGTTCTCTTTTCCCGCGCGCCAGGTGGTCGTCGCTGGAGCCGCCGAGGGGACCGTGTACCCCCTTGCACGGCAGCCTCAAAACGGTTGTTTTTTTGTTTCGCATCGGAGATTTTACAGGGATTCTATACATCCGAGGCGAAGTGTTTCCCCTCTCAGGCTGATTACTGACGTGCCACACAAGTCGTCAACGTCGTCGTCGGCTGCAGCAGGCCTACGCAGCCTCCCCCCCCTCCCCCCATGGGGCATCCGCAGTCCGTCGTCGTCGCCGTCGCGCCGTCGTCGTCGTAGGACACCGTCGTGAAGGGGCGGTGGGGGGGAGAAGAAGAAGGACGATCCCTTTTCCGCCCGTCCCTGTCTCTCTTCCTCTTCTTTTGTGCAGCCATGTCGGCACTTCCCGCCAGCTGAAACGCCTCTTTCCCGCGCCGCCTCCGCTCCTGTTTGTAGCAATGTTGGCCCAACCGCCCCAGTATGGCAGAGGCGTTGCTGCCCCCCTCCGCTGAAGCGGCGCCGTTTGCGTTGCGCGGGTCGCCCTCCTGCTGTCGGCCAGGTGTCCGCGCTAGTCAACGGCGCTGCCGCCGTGTCTTTCCATTTGGTGGGCGCATCCTTTCTACGATTCGCCCCAGCAGAGGAACCATTTTTCAAACCACGCGCCCTGCGCACCGACAGTCGCTCTTATCTAGTGAGGGTCGCTCGTGCTCTTTGCGTGCAGCCGAGGAAGTCGGCACGGTGGCTCTTGTGGTCCGCTTGGGCTTTCGGCTCGCCACGGGTGGAACAAATTGTGGTTCTGACGGAGGCAGGCCCTGAAGGTGTTCCTCGTTTTCGAGCTCCTGGGGCACCCCCCAGGGGATGAACATTCGGCCTTGGACGAGGCCAGTTTTCCTCGGGACCCTCCTCGTGGCAGATGCCCCCCCCTTCCGCGCACGGCTGTCGCTTGCGCGCGGGGTGGACACTCGTACCGTCGGCCGAATCTTGGGCGTGGCTGGCGACCAGTGGAGAGTTTGGAAGGCCTTCGCGATATCGCTTCCAATATGGATCTAAATGAAGTCCGTAGCTTCGGTTATCGGTTTCAAACGTGCATCACGAGTATGCGCACACGGGCTTGGTGATTTTGAACGCCTTGGT